TCCGCGCACAGCCTCGCGCGGCCCAGCCCTCTTCCGCGCACAGCCTCGCGCGGCCCAGCCCTCTTCCGCGCACAGCCTCGCGCGGCCCAGCCCTCTTCCGCGCACAGCCTCGCGCGGCCCAGCCCTCTTCCGCGCACAGCCTCGCGCGGCCCAGCCCTCTTCCGCGCACAGCCTCGCGCGGCCCAGCCCTCTTCCGCGCACAGCCTCGCGCGGCCCAGCCCTCTTCCGCGCACAGCCTCGCGCGGCCCAGCCCTCTTCCGCGCACAGCCTCGCGCGGCCCAGCCCTCTTCCGCGCACAGCCTCGCGCGGCCCAGCCCTCTTCCGCGCACAGCCTCGCGCGGCCCAGCCCTCTTCCGCGCACAGCCTCGCGCGGCCCAGCCCTCTTCCGCGCACAGCCTCGCGCGGCCCAGCCCTCTTCCGCGCACAGCCTCGCGCGGCCCAGCCCTCTTCCGCGCACAGCCTCGCGCGGCCCAGCCCTCTTCCGCGCACAGCCTCGCGCGGCCCAGCCCTCTTCCGCGCACAGCCTCGCGCGGCCCAGCCCTCTTCCGCGCACAGCCTCGCGCGGCCCAGCCCTCTTCCGCGCACAGCCTCGCGCGGCCCAGCCCTCTTCCGCGCACAGCCTCGCGCGGCCCAGCCCTCTTCCGCGCACAGCCTCGCGCGGCCCAGCCCTCTTCCGCGCACAGCCTCGCGCGGCCCAGCCCTCTTCCGCGCACAGCCTCGCGCGGCCCAGCCCTCTTCCGCGCACAGCCTCGCGCGGCCCAGCCCTCTTCCGCGCACAGCCTAGCGCGCCCAGCCCTCCTCCACGCACAGCCTAGCATGCCCAGCCCTCCTCCACGCACAGCCTAGTGCGCCCAGCCCTCTTCTGTGCATAGTATAAAAATAATGGCAACTTTGCCTCCAAATTTACCTTTTCAGTTGAGTCCAATGAAATGTATAAATTAGTCACATGCGAAAATATAGCTCCTTAGGCCTCATGCATTTATCGACAATATACATCTGTCCAGATGCATTTGGACCTCTTATCTAAAACACACCTGGAAGGCTGAATGCACACTGGACCTGTAGCAGCGTCTACATCCATTTTATCTAGCTGCGTTTACACAAACAACAAATGTTCGTCCAGGAACTGTTTAGCCTGGTTTTCTGCACGTAAACACAGGTAAGTGCATGTAAATGGAAAATGACTTGATTTGAGAAGTAAAGATTGCTAGCCTGTCACATTCATTCACTGGATTTCAGTTCCTTACAATCACAGAGGCTCAGCATCATATGTAGGCATTACCTAGGACTGTCTGCATGTAAATACATCCTGCCTAGGAACTACCTCTCCTCTGGACTAACAACCACCCATGAAGGCATTTTGAGATTTATATTCCACCCCCCACCCCCCCGGGG